ACAACCTCTAACGGTTCTTATTCTTAAAGCAGCTCATAGAATATATCATGCAGATCAAAACCATTACTATAAATCTCGACTATAATGTAGCAAAGCCCAAGGACTATGTGAAAAACCTCATAAGTCATACATTCCTAGCCAATTCGTCGCGGCATCAGGGACGAGGAGAGGTCGGGCACAGGCAAGGGTTCTGCTAGCTTGAATTCCAAAAGTCTTCAGACTCGGCGTCAAGAGTCCATGGATGACCCGCGTACATCTGGCAATAAAGGTATCTTTATCACCTAAAAGAGATATATCACCCAAAAAATCTAGGTCCACAGACTGGGTCCATTTGGCTACCGCATCTCTCTCCCTTTCAAGAGCGCTCGCCAACTGGTGTGAGCTGGCAATATGTGACCTGATTTCGTCGCCTGTGCAATGGTCTTCGACGAGAATCACCATGTAATATAGATTCATGGCATGCTGGGTTCCAAAGTGGCGTTCATCATACGTATTTTTAGGCCAGATTATCTTGATTAGTAGACAAATAAGTCTACTTGGATGACGTTTGACATCATCAGCGAATTCCAGGAGGCGAGAGATACACTCTGGCTTAAAACGCTTGGTTATAAGATACACTTCCCAGTCCCTGCCAGAGAGAAGGGCAGGAATGAACCCAAAACCTATCCTGTATCCGATAGGGTCATAACGGATATAATATGGTGAATGGATGACTTCTAATATGAAATCGCCCCCATGATCCACTCCAATAGCTGCATCTGTAAATTCCACTTGAAGACGATCCTAAGGTCAAATAAGCTACAAGTTCCATGTAAAAAAGATGAGGACGAACCAGTGTTTCAATATCAGTCAATGCTTTTGTGATAATGCGCTCCATCTGATCATGATCAAGCCGATTCCACCATCGTATTCGTACTCTCATGGCGGTGGATGGGTTAGTGAAATACCCATCACTTAGAACATATCGACTCAAAGTCGGCTCTAGCTCGTACGGAAACCGCGAATATTTCATGTACAAGTGGTCCAGTTGTTTGTCCATTCCAGCCGCCAAATAGACCACAAATTGAATCCAGGGATCTCGGAATGATGTTTGGAGCCCAAAGGTTACGTAATGGTTGGAGGAAGGAGGCAATTTGGGGTTTTGAAGCTCATTGCATAGCAATTGTATCAGGACCCTTCGCTGTCCGTTGTTACATCCACGTGCAATGAGCAGATCGAATGCTTGTAATATCCCATTCAGGCGTGGTGCTTTGCGTTCATAGTTAATCAAGTCCATGAGCTCCGATCTATGCTGAGCACCAACTAGAATCGAGGTTGCGGCAACGTCTTCATCAGTCGTTACAAGTCTCCACAAAGGTGAGACATCCGGGTTTCTAAGTTGCACAACGAGCAGAGTGTTCAGAATATCATGAATATGCGGGATAGAGTCTTGATTCTTTATCCAATTGACACATTTGAGCCGCTGTATCAAGGTTGAAGACCGCGAAACTGGTATGTCACCATACGACCATGAAGTCACAACAGAGGGACCTCGTGGTGGTAGTGATCCGAGATGCGCCAGAAAAATTAGATTATCCACTCGATCTTGGTCATCATCATGAGCACGTCCTGCAAGGGCCCGAGCCAATCGAGGTATTAAATAGTCGCGTATATGAGTTATTCCTTTCGAAGTGATCTCCTTGTGCATATTTCGGATATCTTGAATGGACTGAGAGAGGTAATGGAGCTGATTCAAGTACCCGACCCTCAACTCTATTTGCCCTTCTATTGACTGAGGTCCATCCGGTACTTCAGTATCGTAAAATAGAAGATGAATTGGATCGATACTATCATCTGGTCCACCCAAAGCCTGGAAGTTGGGTGGCATGTCGTCCCGGGAATCAGCCACTCCCATTTTTCGCAAACAGCGAAAGATAATAACGAGTTCCTTCTCATCATCTTCTGTGAGCTTTCGAGATGCGGCACATTCCGCATATTCGGACGCCAGAAAATAAATGATAAGACCCCACGGTACCTCCTGCAAATCACTGGATAGCCACTGGGCCTCGTCTAGCTCTACACACTCCTGTATTAGGAACAGGAGTCGACGATGAGAGTCTCGTGAAATGCTAAGATTTCGCGCAGCCCAAGCCAAGCTATTGCCGACTAATTGCTTCTGTTCCAGTTTAATATGTGATTGATCACGTCTATAGGTCGAACTCTCAAACCTTGACGGAATATGAGTTAAAAAGCTGAATAAAGTGGAGACTCCTCCTCGGGCTTGCGCAAGGGTGTCGCGAATCTTGTTTTTAAGCGATGCCTTCAGTGCTCCCAGGTCATTTTTTGAAGATTTACCCATAGAATGTCGCCAAAAATGCATGAAATATCGCAATATAAGGTGGAAGAATAAATATATCCATCGCACGATTGGGGCTCGATAAGGCGATGAAGGAAATATGACCGCCAGCATCGTGGTGATGAGATAGAATACCGCTCCTAACAGGGTACCCCCAATGACTACACCTCCGACCGTAGTATGTACGCTCCACATCCATTGCGCAAGTCCGACGAAGAATAAAACAAGCGAGCAATAAAGCAACACCGGTAGTGCCGCGATAATCTCTTTCATCTTCCACTTTTTCATTCCCCCGTATCAAAACTGTCTTCGTTTCACACGGTCTTCCGGAGACGACCCGCTTCGGCTGACAGCTGCATCGTATTCGGCCACCCATTGTAGGGACACCACACTTGCCAGAGCTGCGATGATACTCGCACTCAAGCTCGCAAAGAACAAGCAGTTCACCGATACAGCGTGGGATGCAGGAGAGAATGAAGTGCGTGAATAAGGTGTATGTGTACCGTTAGCGGTGTTGTTGATGAAGAATATAAGCGCATCGACCATCACATCTGCCGGATCCTGTTCTAGTAGTTTCTTGCTCTCGATAATGAATGCAGAGAGGACGGAGGAGAAGATAGCAGCCTAGATAGTGTCAGTGAAGCAGATGGGCGTTTGTCTTCTACTCACAAAAACGAGAAGAAAATTAAGACTAGACGTCCAATCCTTCACTAGTTCATTATCTACGACCACTGATTCGTTTATATAGACCTCCCAGATTGAGGATTCGTTTGGGAAAGGGATGGCCGGATTGCCATGCGGCGCTCCAGGTGGTTTGAACGGTGCAGGCACTACAAGAGGTAGATTTAATCTTTTAATATGACCATTTTGTTGAGTAATGCGGATGCATACGTTGTTGCTTGTGGCTCATTAGTTTGCCAGATATGGTAAGGTCAAAGGTGCAAATCAAATCCGCTCTCCTCAGTCGGTCTTATGCATACGCGACCACTATGAATAAGGTCTTTCTTCACTTCCGTATTTCTCCAGATCTATATAGACATTTTTTCTTTCATTTAGCTTTTGAACTTGGCCATATTTGTCCCTTTGATGACCAGCATAGCACCTTGCTCTCATAATCGGGCATCTTAGGTGATTAGAAGGGAAATAGTGGGACCCTTTCGCATTGGTGACGGAAACAATAAGCGTTTTCATACTTTAATCCATCTACTGACAGGGCTGGTAATACTCCAGGGTCAAACACCTTCGACGCCGGTAGCACATCTGAACTGAGAACCCCTAATTCCCCTCTACCCATAATTCTGGAGCATGCGAGAATGTGCATGGCTTCTGCCGTGCTTATACTACGCTACCCCACTCTTGAATGGAAGTTCAATTCAGGAACCGAGTCTGACTAGATACCGGCCAACACTTGCCATCATTTGCTCACTCACTCCGGTCAGCAACCCCTTTCTCAAAATTGAGAAGCATTAGACATTAAGGTTAATCACGGGTTTCAGATGCAATCGGACCAACCGCCACACAACTTTCCATCATCACCTAGGAGATGGCAGTCCAATATGAGAGGCCCTGCTATTCGAAATAGAGAAGATTGACAAATCGGCCGGCGGTCTATGCATCCTCCGCCTACCCCACTGAAATCGTCGGTCGAAGGTGCCAACGAGCCGGTTGGCGTTGGCCGTACGAAGACTTCACCCCGCGCGCCTTCCAGTACCCCCGATTATATAAAGCCATTATTTGGAACCAAGAATAATTCCCATCTCTACCATATTTCGTCCTCGCAATCATGCAACTCACCCTCCTCTTTCTTCTAACTGCTGTTGCGTCTGTCACTGCAGTATTCGTGGAGTAAGGCCTCCCCCCTTTGAGAAACCTCCTCTATTTATTTTTACTCATTCTCTTCTAGAACGCGGCAGATAGACTGGCGCCCGTCCATTTCAGGCAATAATGCTGGTAAAATCTTAGCCATTCCCTATCATAATGAATTGCTAAATAGTTTGATAGCGGTCCTTCAAGCTGAAGGTAACTGGAATGGTGCACGTGTCACGGTTGTCAACTTTACTGGACGTGACCCAAAGTCTACCTGGGACGTTCACCGGTTTGGGGATGGGACATCCGACATTTTCTTCCAGTACAGGGTCTTCGGAAACAAGTGTTTGGATGTGACAGATGGAGATGGAACGAATGGAAACCAATTGCAAATCTGGGAATGCTATCAAGAAAATACAAACCAACGATGGAACCCTATCACCCCCCAGCAGTGGCAACAATGGCACTCTCATAACATGTACGTCCTGTTACCACCTGGCATGATTCTCTACAATACTCGTTGTCTGATTCTTAGCGTCGGGTGCTTATGCTTGCTTATAGGTGTATGGACCTAACTGATGGGATAGTGAATAACCCGGTACGAGCCTAGTTCATTCTAAAGATCACAAACTCACAGGAACCTTATAGGTGCAACTTTGGGAGTGTACTGATGACAATATCAATCAGAAATGGGTGTTCGACAATAAAGGACTCTAGGTGAGATGAGAGTCCCCTTCACGACGGACGTCAATTCACTCAAGGATTATCATCCTCCAATTGTTTAAATGTCCTTGAAGTTCATAATTTCTGTGGTATTTGATTCATACCTCGTTTTTCATAGCCAGTTCACCAAATAGTACCCGCACAGGTTGTCTATGGATTGCCACTATATATTTAATCAATTAGAACCTTTAATATTCTGATACAACTATTTCATTATTTTATCACTTTATACTCGTCTTATTTGCAGACCAGTCGCCTGAGGTTTGAAAACCCGCGCATTAGTGGATAGTTTGTGAAACCAAATGGTGCATGTTTGAAATGAAATCTAATATTATACAACTTACAATTTTACTAATGAGATCACGAAATAGGCACGAAAAGGAGATAAAAATCGGGCCTAGACGGCAGCAGCCTCTCTTTCCTTGCCCCTCTTT